GACCACTTCTGCTTGGGTTTTGACAAAAGAAAATAGGACCGGTGTGGAGGCAACAAGGCTCAAGCGACACCGTTTTGGAAAGGGAAGAAATCGCAAAAACGTTGGAGAAGGAAGGAAGGTATGCCACTGGTAGACTACGATGATTCTTCCTCCGACGACGATGTCTTAGCCACCGCCAAGGAGGAGAAGAAACCTCTGCCACAATCGCAACATAAACCATCTCTAGCTCAATCTTTTCCTCCTCCAAATACACAGTGAGTGATTTTGATTTTAGGGTTTCTCAATCTTGGGTTTTGCAATTAAAGCGCTCGAGATTGTGTTTGTAGAGTTTCTAGAACCAATCTGACGATTTTTGATTCATATAGTTTAGTTTCTTATCGATTCATCTTTTGTATATGTATGTTTGAAGCAGCGCTTTTCGATTTCATATAGCTAAAAAGTCTCTACCTTTAGGCTACTTCAAGTACATATTAGTTTTCTAGATTGCGAAAGTGAGCTCCTTTTGATGGATTCTGATATTGAATAGTCAGGTTAAGTTTAAAGCATTGTTTTGTGTCAAGTTTGGGTATTACAGTCTTGCAAGTTGGTTATGTTTTTAGTTGACCCATTGTGTTTTTTTAGGAGATCTTTAAATGAGCAAGAAGAGAGTGATGCACTTCCGAAGCTACCAGATGCTTTGCTTCTACTGGAGTCACCGTCACTCGCACAGGTGAGTGGTGGCGGTGACCATGCTTCAGTTGTTGCAGCTGCGAGGGCAGAGAGTGCGTTAAGGAAAAGAGATTTGAATGGGAATCCTTCTTCTCTTCTTCCTCGTCGTCCCAAGCTACCAAGAGGAAATCTGCCTCATTCCAAGAATGTTCCTGAAACTTTGGGTAATGTGCTTGTGCCTCCTCAGCTCAAGGGAAGGTTAGTCGTCAATCAGTCACCTCTATCTTCACTTTATTTCTCAAACCTAGGAAACTATTGAGAAGGCCTGGCTAAGATTGTTGTTATCAATCATTCATACTTCATTAGGATTAGAATAAATGCGCTTCGAAAGGGGATTTTGCGTGTGATATGTGTTTTACACAGTTATGAATTGCTGACTTTCTTGGCATCTTTGTGAGAACTGGTTCCTAATTTAGATGCAATGTCTTGTTTCAAATACTAACGTGAGATTATATATCTGTAGGAGTAATGTCGCCACAGAGGATATGAGCAGGCTTTTTGTGAAAAAACGGCAAGAGTCCTCCAAGGCAACATCTCCTGCCAAGGATTAGTTTAATAAAATCTGAATGGTTATATTTCTATGACTAATTGTTGTGGATTCTTAGTTGGAAAACAGAGTGTGTAACTTTACGTTTTCTCATTTATTTATACAAAAGAGAAAAAGGATTTTCTTCAAACTATGGTTTCTTGGAATTGTGAACTTGCCAATGTTTCAAGTGATATTCTTCGATTAGGATAATGACTGAATTTTTTTAAAGTACATTATAGTGACTAAATTCAACATGAGTAAACTTCAAACGAAACACTAGATAGCAACAATTTTATGTAAGAAAACAAAAACTCTTTCTGTGACATGTGAAGCCACTACTAAAACTTCCGTAAGGTAACTTGTTCAGCTAAAGCATCAAAACATGACCACCAAATCATTTCACAGCGTTGAATAATAAAACTCTTTAGAAGCATTGGCAGTTTCTACAAACAGTTTATGTACTATTACAACGGTGTGGTCTACTGATGAGGCTGATTGGTGTGCGGTGGAGGGCCAGCAGGTAAAGGCGGCTGCGGCTGCGGCTGCTGCAGATTTAAAATAAAGAGAACATTTATTAGTCAACCAATTCAGCTCTACATTTTCAACATCAATCATACTATCGAAACCTAGCCAGTAAGTTTCAAACTAGCTTCAAGAGTAATGTGGTTCAATCAAACATCACTCGCCTATTTGTACAAATATTTATGTGAAACCGCAACGGGTATAAAAGTAGAAGAGTGATTAGAGGTACCTGCTGGAAAGGGTTGTTGTACCCTGGCATCATTTGTGGACGGTTGAAACCACGTCCTTGGGGATACATTTGGGGTCCACCACTGCTTGGTGGTCCTTGTCCTTTAAATCCTCCCGGAGGAGCACCCATAAAATGACTTTGCGACATCTGAGGATTCATGCCCCCTTGTATTCCCTACTCCAACAAAAAGCGAATATCAACTCTTTCTACTCGGTAAAGCAAAATCATTTATGTTGATAGCATACGAAGAGGGATCCAACTAATGGTTGGGGTAGCCACAAAAGACAGGTTTAAGTTGTGGTCAAATTACAAGAGATCTGAGATACATACCATTGAACCGGGCATCTGATGAGACATGGGCATTGAGGAAGGTGGCATGTGACCATGAGGAGGCATTTGCATAGGCCGGGGAAGATGAGGATGAGAGTGCAATGGCATATGAGATGATGGAGGTAGCTGATGATGAGGCATATTGGGCATTGGAGGCATTTGCTGGGGATGACCTTGGTGGTGTTGTTGTTGCTGGTACCCTTGCTGCTGCCCACTTCCAAGAAGCGATGGGTGGGGACCAGGTGGCAGCGGAGGAGCCCCCAATGCCACTGAACCTGGAAGAGGTTGTTTATGTTCCCCTTGAGAGGATCCATCAAATGGCATTGCTATTCCGATTCCTGGGATGGTTCCCTCATTCCGTGTCAGCCCAGGAATAAATGCCCCAGGAGTTGGGGATGCCTCAGACTGTTGGAAATTATCAGGCATGCGATTACCAAAACCTTGTTCGCTGTAACCTGGTACAAATTATACTATTAATTAGTACATACAATTTACAGCTTCAACTCCTTGATAAACAATAAATTAAAAACACTAGTTTCTGACAATAATATAACTTAAAAGTACGAGCAAGAGAGTAGATAAGGTGCTAATGGGCAGAGATGTTTAAAACTCCTTGGGTCCAATTTATATAGAACACCCATATATGACCAGCTGAGATGGAGCAGTCACGTATGTATTTTTTTACAATTTTCCAGTTGACAAAGGTGCCATATGGCTGGGTCAAGCCTGAACCTTAAGAACTCAAGGCCTATTTCGAACCAGTCATTCTAGACTGACCCTGCCAGAGCCAAGCCAATCACAACATCCTTACTATTTAATCATATCATATGGATAAGCCAATCACTACCCACACCCTTTCCCTACTAAACAAATCAGATACTAATAGCACCAAAAAAAAAACCTTGGTTCTGCATAGGCAGGACATCTCGGGGATTATCTGCAGGCCTGTTTCTGCACCAAAATTTGGTCGTGTGATCATTGCTACCACTGCAGAAATTAGGGTAGAAAATCAAAAACTGAAGCATTAATTATTCAAGAGCATAGCTAACCACAGACCATAATAGAATAAAACTGTAAGGAAACCACAGCACCAGATTATCGTAATTGCTACCTGCAAAGAAGATATCCAATAGGATGCCATGCAAGATCCCAAACACTGTTTTCATGAGCATTTTGGATTTCAATCTGCGGGTTTTCATGCCTGGGAATAAAGAAAAGTTTCATAATTAAGCCAACCTCAAACAAAACCACCAAATAAAAGGTAGAGTTAGATCCTACTAGCATAAAGATGCTTCATGGCTGGATATAAAATGTAGCAAGAAACATGATTTGACAAATCATTTCAAAGCAATAGCAGCATGAATGAATAAATAAAATTGCATAGTGCTTCACAACAGTACCTACCCGACAATCCAGTGACAAATGGATCCGTCAAGACTCCCACTGACAAAATATTCTTCATGGAAGGGATGCCATGCCAAAGCTTCAAAAGAGTTTGGCAATCTTTAATTAGAAATAGTTTCAACAAGAAATGTCAAAGAAACAAATTGAGAACCGTCATCCACTGATATTAAAAAAACTCTCCTATGTTATACCCACACTGATAACCTTTCGAACGTGTATGCTTAAAAGTCCTAGTCAATGTACAGAAAAGTACTTTCATACAGGCAATTTATCTGTCTTCACAGGTATGAAGCATGATCATTACAGAATTTGACAGCTTACATGTTACATCTTTCTTGTGCCCACGAAAGGATTCAAGCTCCTTCATAGTCCTGATATCATACAGCTGCAGATTACATGCATCGGTGTCATACAGATGCTTCCATAATGCACATGAAAAAAGCTTGTTTCAAATCCATATACCCCAAAGGAAGTGATCCTTACCTTAATTATTTGATCTTTTGAGGCCGTTAAAAGCCAATTGCCATTTTCGTTCCACTTCACACTAAGCACCATGTTTTTGTGACCATGACTGCAACAGTGAGAATAGCCCATCGCATTCGTCAAAGCTTTGAACTTGAAACTATTAATAAGATATAGATAACGTTTTGTACCACTTACAGTGAGCAAAGTTCTTGCCCAGTTCTAGCATCCCAGAGTTTGACAATTTGGTCTTTTCCACCTGACAACACAGATTAAAACGATTAATAATCTATTGTAAGTCAGAGAGAAACTCTAAAGTATACAAGGGTTTCTTTCTTATTGCATTATTCAAAATCAGAAGTCTATTAAATGATGTACCAGAAACTAGTAGGGACTTTGTGGGGTGCCAGTCAACGCTCTTGACATCCCAACCATGGCCTGCCTGAGTTCAAAATATAAAGAATCCTTAGGTCACTTCAATAATTCTCAGAATATACAAATGTGAAAAGAAAAGAAAAAACAGTGAAGGCATGCCTTAAAAAAGATAAGAAACTTAGTTTAAGAAACAAACTGGGGTCTCCAAAACTAACTACTTTTACATGGTATGACACCGAACCAAATTTCAATAACACCATTTCCTGTGTTCCTTAAGGGTGCAATTCTAATAACATACAGCTAAAACACATCTCGCCTTTTCAAAAAAGAAGAGTAAAGCAACTAAGTTCTCTATCTGCCCCCAATCTGTTCAAATCACATTACCGGTTAACGTTAGATCTTCTTGGCACTTAGCAAAATCCCAAACTTTAATAGTCGTATCATCAGAACACGAGCAGAACTTCAAATCTGTTTTACAGAAACTGTTTGATACATGTTGTTAGAATTTGAAGAGATCCATCTAATGTAATTTAACATATCAATTTTTTTACCTTAAATCACGAATTGATTCTTTGTGAGCAGTTTTATTGGCTTTCACATTGTTCATGTTATTCTGCCAATACCTGATTCATAAGGAAAAACTCAATTGAATCATAAACTTCTGAGCCATTAATTTACATGGTACAAGTTAAGGATTTTAAGAAAAAAATACTTTATTGTGCCTCCATCATCACCAGAAACCATATAATTGTCATTGTGGCTCCATATCATAGATCTTATAGGTTGATCATGTGCCTGAAAATTGACAGCAGATTTCAACAGTCAATACCAGGAGAAACAGTTATACAGACATCAAAAACAGAAATCCCCAAAGATTAATATACACAATCTGAGAAGTGAACCTGTAGAATCATTTCAAAATTGAAAGATTGCCCATTCCAAAGAGTAAACTCCCCACTATGGGAGCCAGTGATAAGTCGTCTTCCTGAAGGTGTCCACTAAATACAAGAAACCCAATCAGCAAATAGCATGGCAAAAAGAAAAGAACATAATACACCCAGCTGTTGGAGGGGTATACCAATACACAGTTGATTGAACAACGGTTCTTGTTGAGAGATGTGTGAACAAACTTTGCAGCAAAACTTGTCGAAGGGTTATCTGAATATGCAACTGTGGGAAGCATCTGAAACAATTATATAGGAGTTAAGAGCAGAAAAATTATTCAAATACTGGATATAGTGATCCTCAGATCAAGAATCTATAGCATAATTCAGAAACCCAAAGAAACCCCACATCAACTGCTGCAGCTGGGGTTGGTTGCAAACAGGTCCTATCCCTCGAGTCTCTCTGCCATGTTCGAGCCTGAACAAAAAACATACATAGAGTAAACACACTATGTACATCTATTTCCACATAAAGTATGAGCTAGTTAACCTTAAATCACATATCAATATCAGTTGCATTACATAAAAGACAAATGCTATCTAATGAATTTTGATACTAAAGGGATCAGAGAATCACAATGGGGAAGGAGAGAGTGGCTATGAGTATAGCTATCAAGACGACAACTTTACAAAGAACAAGAGAGTTAGAATCAATCAGTCAAAAAGGGTCTAACGAGGAAATACATGGAAATACATTACTTGAATATATTTGACAACGGTGCTCGTGTAATCAACAGCTCTTCTCTGTGTATGCTT